GTGGATTGTTTTATGCTAATTTACGCAGTGAACACACATATTTTGAGAGAAACTAGTGAGTTTTTCGGGATTTGAAGCCGACGCGGAAAATAATGTCTTTTTACCAGTTTCATCATCTGTAAGTGTTAATACATTCAACTGAAAATTCGTTACAAGGCATAGAGAAAACGCTTATTTATAGGAGGTAAAGCCCCATAAAAAATATTTTCCAGGAAATTGACAACACTTGATTGAACATTTGAACAGAAAATGTATGTTCGCATAAGAAACCCTTCCATGGGAAGAATACACCAGATAAATAAATCTCCAAAATCATTACAACCCAGAAAAATCGCGTAAAATGCAGCGAGTTTAAAAACCATAAGAGAAAAGAGTGCGGGCTGAAGAGCAAGTTTCGAAGACATGAAGAAACGAAAGGAAAACACCGCATTGCTTTCCCCTTTTTGGGTGTCTTCAATTCTGGGAAATCCAAACAAAATGTAGACGACAACGTTCCGACCTAAATTGGTGATTTAGTGAACATATGAAGGGCAAAACCAGAACAACCCATTTGCTCGGAAAGGGCCCCGGTAAATCGTCCCTAAACAGCAGACTGTTTGTCTGCTAAGACCAAGTGTGTCATCTAGTTAGGCAGCGTAAACCAAACCGGATCGAAAAACTATTGATTTTGTACAAGAAATCAGCGCCTAAAATGCATTGCGGCATCTTTTGACCGCCAACCCAACTGGCTTTGCTGGTAGCAAATAATTCGATTATCCAGACGATTCGACTGCTAATCTCATAATCGAGTGGAAAATCATTTACTTTAGACGCTTAGAAAAACTCTTTTAATTTAATTCAAACTTTAAGCTAATTAACAAACGATTTAAAAAATGTCGGAAATTAATCATAAACCTTCCTTGAATATTTCAACACCGTTTTCAACTATTCCAGTCCAGATGATTGCTCAAACTAATCGGCCCAATAACTCACCAGTCAATGTTTCCATTTTTTCCCTGGTCTGCATTCGTTCGAATGATGAATTTATGAGACAGGATGAAAAGTGGTTGTGTCTAATTTATACAGTGGCGTGCCGCGTAATTAATACGGGTTGGTCGGCCCTTTTTAACGCGGAAAATTAGCATTTTATACGTAAAATTAAACGATGGGCGTATGAGTGCTGAGCCAAATTGGCTCCCACTGCTAAACAAATCGGTTCCGATTATGTAAAAGCATGGGCAATATTTATTGTTTAATTTCAGGTGTTTGAATGCGTTCAATCAAAAAAAAAATTATTGTCCCTTCGAATAGAACGGTAAAACGCTGGCAGTAAACTGTACCTAGACAAATGCAGAAATGTGCAAAAACACGATGGCTCTGAGTGCGTTGTTTTCAAACTAATGATCATATTTCCGGAAAGTCGATGATGTTTTTGGGAGCTGAATAATTTGAGTTCAATTGCTGACAAATATATTTTTAAACAACTACTGTATAAAACCCTTATTCCTAAGCATAACGGACTTATTCCAGATTATGGGATGAATTACAGGCAAAATTTCAGTGTACAAGCCCATAATCCATTGCTACAAGTACACATGTTGCAATTATTATCAAACGAGGTGATATCTCCATCTTTGCAGGGCTCATTTGCGTCTTTGGGAGTTACAACTGAAAATTGAACGTAACCGATTTACTAAACTCTTAAAATTAATCCAACTTACCATTGCGTTTCTTGATTTTATTGGCTACTGCTGGCTGTTGAACGTCTATAGAAAATTAAATATACTGTAAAGGTGTCTGTTTTTGTAAGAAATCTTTCCATTTTTTAATTTATTGTTGCGCCGTTAGCTGCATGGGATTTAAAAAGCTTTTTTTAAATAAATAATAAAAAATACTTTAATACTAAATTTCCTGTGAGTAGTGGAACGCATGTATACCATATGAATGTTTAAAGAATGCTAATAAATACCTTGTAAGCAGCCGATTCTTGTACAGGCCCATAATCCTGCGGCGCAAAAGCATCTATTGCAGTCTTCCATTTTAACATCTCCAGGTTTGCATTGTTTTTCCGCTATTAAAAAATTTGCATTTTTCTTCAATCTATCCGCAGATTATTTGCACATTACAATGCTTGGACTCTTAATAAAAATGTTACAGTTCAAGGTTTTGTTTGTCTAAACTAGATTAAAGATGTGTTTTTTACACACACAGATGTATGCACAAGCATTAACAATACTTTATGAACATAGAAAAATTGTCAAGGTGCTTTATCAGACTAATATTTTGTATAAACATAGAAAACTAATTGTTTTTTTCCGTTAAATAGATCTCATTGCGGGTTTTTATTGCCTGCATGCTTTGTAGTCTGCAGTTTTGCTTATTGTGGCAAAAATTCAATTTTTCTCACTTTAAATTGAAATTGTTTGCGCTTCAGCTCGTTTAATTTAAGCTTGATTGAACTAACGACTGTTTTGGACTCTTCAATAATCAGTCCTGACATTATTCTTGAACTTTTTAGTAACCTGATTAAAATTATCAGAACTTTTTGATTAAGAAACGACATTGTGAGTACACCAGCAAATTCCATTGGTTTTTCCCATAAATCTGTTGTTTCTACACTCATTTAAAACATTTGTTGTTGCATAGAGAAAACGTAACTTTGTAACACTGCAGAAATTGCCCCAAAAACTTTTTAAAGCCCTTTGTTTAACCAGAAAACACTTACGCAGTTTAGCAGATTCAGCAGCAGCAACCACTAAAACCAAACAAAAAAGAATATGTGTGTTCATGGTAATTTCTTTGCGGACAATGCTAAGACAATTGTGAACCGCTACTAGTCGCACTATCACTGTTAAGAACCTATTAAGAGCCTGTTTATTTATACATAAACGGACAAACTTTGATCACATGCTGAGGTCACTTTCTGGAAATCTGTGACTCGCATCGAAATTTTTGCTTAAGCCAACGTTACTGTGGGTTTGTGCTACTCTTTTTGATAGTTTTGATTCGGTTTTTGCCTTCATTTTTGTGACTTCTGCTTCGCAGTTAAATGCTTGGTAAGTACCCACATTCAAGTTCAAGAATAATCTTTAAATATTTAGTAGTACCGCATCTGGTTCTATGTAGATGATCCAAGCACTAATTTTCCACCCCAAGGTTTTCGCCAGTGAAAACTTGGGTTTTTGTCCTAATTTGAGGAAAAGCTCAGTTTTTCATCCTCCACAAAGCTGTACATTGTCTAGTTGACATTTTCATCTCTGACCATGAAATATTTGGCTCATATTCTGGTTATCACTTGCGTAGTTTTGTTTTTCACTTGTTGTTCGGTATTATCCGAGATATTCATAGCCCTTCTGCGAATGAAACGTAAGTGGAACTTGCCTGGAAGCGAAAATTCCCCAAATAATTCTTAATTGGACTTTGAGTGGCACAATTTCGTAAAACCACACGCTTAATTAATGTTGACTTTACTTTTAAGGATGTGCAGCAAATTAAGTGATGAAAAGGTTTATCGTCTATGCAAGTCTGTCTTCGGAGAATGCCTGAAATCGTGGACTTCCCCCGTTTCTTGGATTGATTTGAAGCTAAGAATAACTGAACGATAAGCAGATAGTGGTAGGATTAAGGGCGGCTATAAGCAGAACATATGACTAAAATTTAGTTTTTAATAACAAAATAATCGGAGCAAAACTTCCAGATTAAAACAGTAAATTTAACACAACATATCAGCTTTGGCTTTAAATGGTTTCTGATATGATTTCATTATGCTACAGTGTCTTTTAAGCCTATTTGTAGAAAAATATCATCGATAAATTTGGTGCTTAGCTAGGAAATTAATTAGCCTGTACACAAAAGCCTCTACTAGAAACGAATCTTCGTCTCTGTCTTCGTAGGGCTTCATGTAGTGGTCAACTGCCGCTGCTATCCATCGAAAACAAAAATCTGGCTCTCTCCTATGGACAATTTATCCAATTCCTCTACGGCCAGCTGGTTGAACACTGGCGGGCCGCAAATGAAGCAGAATATGTCCTTTTTATGACAAAAAAAGGTGTTAAAAGGCATACTTTTCTCCCCTTTATATATACTATACCTTTATCGTATATCCCGTGTCTTTTAAGTGCTCTTGTAGGGAATTTTGCACAAGACTAGCGTTTATGTGCCCGCGGTGTCCTCTCCACGATTCAGCTGCTTGCGATAACACATTATCCATTTTAAATCTGAAAATCCACTCATTAAAAACTTTATTAGGGATTAATTCAGTAAACCTAATCACCTCTTATCAAGTTCTTCCAGTTCTTCTAGTTGCCTCTTCAATGGAATATCAGCTTCGGTTTTATTGAAGAAAAGCAGTCGGAGAAACTGACTGAAAAGCACCAAAACAAACACGTCAAGAACCAGATAGAAAACACTTCTAAATAGCAAAGTTTCCGCGAAAACTATGCCAAGGCCAAGCAGTTAATTAAAAGTTTCTATAGCTACCACTTCTTTATCCGCCTTTCTAGCAAAAACATAATTAATCCCAACATCGGCGTTATTCCGGTGCCAGCAGCCAATAACAGAAACGTTTCTCGCCTTTCGATTGTCTTCAGATCCATCGCGCCCAGCGGCTTGCTGAATTGGACTTTGTCTTCCGATTTTTGGTCTGAAAGCAGGCAGTAACATTTTAAATTAAAATGAAGTTTAGCTCGGTCTTACCGGTTATAAAACGACTAATCCTTCCTTCGGGATACCGCTTGACCATCAAGCAAACCCCCTCTCCCACGGTACTGGATGGCACAAATTTATCCAATAAATTATCAGGCACTGGTGTGTAAGATCTGGAAATTTCCTCGCCTGGAACAGCAATTTACGTAATTAGGCCCAATGTAAGGGAAAGTTTCAGCTATTTGCTTCACGTAGAAGACGCTAAGAAAGCCCCGAGGGTGAAAATCAAAATAACTTGCCATTGACTGTTCCAAACACACGAACATGTTTCCCAATGGGAATTAAAGTTTTCTTCCTGTCCTGTCTCTCAAACTGCAGGAGCCACGTATTGTGATTTACGGACATTTTCCTTTTCAACACGTAACCAGTTTTGACTTGTGCTGATAATGCGGCATTTGCCGATTTGGAGCGCTGCGTCAGCACGCCGTAATTCTCCCATATTCCACTGCTAGTTTTTCTGAAGAGAAAATTGAAAAAATCCCATAAAATTGTCGTGATTTGCCCCAAAACGCGTACTTAAAGACAAACTCCACTTTGCCAGTTTCAATAGTTACATTCACATCGCAGGGCCACCGAATTTTCTCGTGAAAAACCAGCTCGTTCTTGAAAACAATGCCATCATAGATCAGGCATATTAAAACTGTTTGGTCGTTAAACGGTGGATTGATTTCCACCAGAGGATTGGAAAAGGCTTTGGTGTAAAATATGATCGTAATAAAATCCAGCTTTTGAATCCAATCGAAGCGGGGTAACGCTGTAGGCATGGACGGAGGTTTCAACAGCTGCTGTTTCTCTGCCGAGACTCCTGGATGTATGAAAAAAGTTAAAAAATTTTGAAAGTTCAGTTTAGTTTTACCGAAAGGTTTTCCAGCTGGTTCCTCCAGGCTACTGTTGCTGGACTTTAACGACGAAGGACGCTTTTCCCCGAAAAACAGCGCTTCTGTATCAATATTGGGATTAATCGCCACCAATCTCCCAACCAGGCATTTCTGCAGGATTTGCTCATAATTCACCCATGGATGAATCTGCAAGCCATCGAATCCCAAAGAATTATTGTTTCAGCCGCCAACAGCCACTTGCCTGGTCAAATAACGCTGTTGCATCCACTCCCGCTCCTTTCATCAGTTCTTCTTCGCCTCCTGGATGGAAGGAAAAATACTCAGTAATGTTATAAACTCTTCCGCGGATCGCAGTCCAGGCGTCGTTCTTTTGGTTATGCTTCGCGAGTTCCTGTTTGGTGATCTAAGCAAAAACCAGCCATTTGGTAATTTTTCTCCTGCGAAATCAAGTGACTCACTGATAAAGTGCCAGCTATGGATCCCAGGCCTGTCAGGTCCTTTCCAGAAGTTCCCAATCGGATCCAGTCGATAAGAGAGCGTCCAGGCTGAAGAGCCACTTTGTTCCGTGGATTTCCTGTATGAAAATTGAAAGTTTAGTAGCGATGAAAATATAGAATTCTTAGGCAGGTGTTGGATAGAAAAAATGTGTGTTTTACTCGAGCAACGTTTTCTTTTCATCAAGTTTGTCAGAACCAAATTAACAATTAACCGCTTTAGCCCGAAGCCCAGTTGCAATTTCAATCGGCCCCTGCAATAACCATTTCCTTTGATCTGGGGATTCAGAAAATGTAATTTTAACAAGTTCACGGCGCTTGCAGAGATTCATGGTAAACTAATTTGACACTCGTTGGCTGTAGTTTTAGCGAAAATTGCATTTTATCTACTGCCAACACAAGAAAGTCGTTTCTGGAAGCTAGAGGTCGAAAATTGTCAATTTGTTTGCAGATTAGCAACGGAAGATTTAAATTAACATGTGGAAGCGAGGAATGAACGAATTCGGTTGCAATCGACGCATTTATTAGGTTTGAGAGCGCAGGAATCTTGAAGCCCGAAAAAGGGATACCAATTGGGGTATTCATTGATTTTGCAGAGTAATGAAAATTTGTCCTAGAAAACACCCTTTTATATTTATACTCGACTGTATGCTGTGTTTTTAATAAACATTGTTTCAAAGTAATAACACATGTATTATTAGCGTTTGTATTTTATATTTTATATTAGTTCACATTGTCTAGTTTTTTTAGTTTGCCGTTCATACAGCAACATCTCTATATGAGCACATTGAAACACAACATTTGAAGTGCAACCTCATTTGGAGATAACTACGATTTCCAATATTATTTATCCACTTCATTTGATGATTGTCTTAGAAACAATAAGTGGTAGGCAATAGTTTAATCAGATAAAAAGACCACTTATTTCACTTGACGCAGATCCGACTTTCCAGTACTACCAAGTTTTGAGCCAGGTAAGTGATGAGTTTGCAAGTTTCCAAATTTAACTAAAAATTCATAACTTATTTTATTCAATTAGCTGATGATTATAGCTGCAATAAACTGGCCCTTTTGCCCTAAATATTCTCCAAATGTTCAATTGCCTATCAAACCCAGTTAAATTGTCTTGAATTTCATCAATGAATGGAACTTTCATCGGGTTTGTTTTTCGGATCATTCATGCCTTACGCGATTATATTGCATCTGCCGTATGTAAAGCGAATTTCAAAACACACTTAAACAATCACATGAAAACATATGCTCGTTACCTTTTTGTATTTGAAGTATCAAACAGTAGTGAAGTTATGTAACTTTTCAACTAAATAGTTCATCTTGCTTTTAAGGCGTAAAACTTCCAAAAGTTCTTTACCATTTAATAACAAGTCGATATTCGTAGTTTTTAGGCAATCACGATCTTTAACCGACGATATGTTTCGTATCATCGATTAAAACGCTTTATTTGTGCATATGGGGACGTTTCTCAGGTCGGAAACAGTTAATTTAGCACAAAAAATTCGCATGTAAAATTTTGATTTTTGACCCAAAATTTCATAAGGGGTGGAAATCGATTCTTTCAAAAAATATCAACTTTCTTTAAATGCCTCTAATTTTACATGATTTTTATCAGAAAGAAGTAAGGAATGTAAAGAGCTCATTAGAAAGCGCAGTAGAAGGCTCAGATCCGGAATAATCCACATTTTTGTGCATTTTTAGCGGTTTTTGGACAATCACGATCTTTAACCGACGACATATTTCGTATCATTGATTAAAACACTTTATGTGAGCATACTGGGACGCTTTTCAGATATGAGGAGCCGTAAGCAGAAAATGCTAAATTTATCAAAACGTGAAACTCATCAGCAGTAATGTTACTTGGAAAAATGTTAAAGTTTCACTTCAATAAAAATAACAATTTTAAATTGTAAATTAATTTTACGATTAAATAAAATTCGTTCTTTTTCCAGCAAGATCCTCACAGTTGCGAAGCGACCAACATTTGAGTAATCGGGTTCAGCAGCAAATAAGTAAGTATTTTCGGATGTTAATTTTCAAATGGATACTGAACGTTAACTAATTTTGCCAGATATTTGGCCATAACTTTTCAAACACTCTGTATTACATGCCGCAAATTCCCCTATATTGTCCAGGGTTTTCAAGCAAAACTTCCGAAATTTAGTGTGCAACAAATTTTCGAGGTACATTTATAAAAAGCGGCTGTTGAAAGTTTGGTGAAAAACCTTCTGGTGCTACTAATATAATCAAGAAGAAATTGTGGTACACCCTATAAAGCTTCTGAAAAAGCAAAATTTTCTTAGACTCAAGAATTAAAAAAAAAGAGTCGTCCTTCCTCCTCACTGGGTTCCATCTATTGATCATTGAAGAATAAAATCACTCATCCACTTCTATTCCCACAGAAAATGGAAAAACTGACTCTCCTACTCTTGCTGGCATCCATAGCCTTGGCATCAGCGAAATTTCCGTTCTACAGTACCAAGCCCTTCATCCATAAACCCGCGGAAGACTTAGGCGAACCGCTGCTGCTAACACCCTTCATCCAATCGTCACAACTGGAAGAAGTGCGCGAAGCCGCCGAAGTCGACCCAGACAAATTCCTAGGCGTAAGAAGCTACTCGGGATATTTCACTGTTGATGAACCGAACAATGGAAACCTGTTTTTCTGGTTTTTCCCATCGGCTAGCAACTACGAAGAAGATCCAGTGCTTCTCTGGCTGCAAGGCGGTCCAGGAGCGTCCAGTTTATATGGGCTGTTTACGGAAAATGGGCCTTTCGTGGTGGAAGACGGCGAATTGGGGCTTCGCAACTACTCCTGGCATAAAAACTTTTCGCTTTTGTATATCGATCAACCCTTGGGAGTGGGTTACAGTTTTACCGATGGGCCGCTGGTCAGTGACCAGACTCAAGTTGGAGAACACTTGTATAGTGCCTTAACGCAATTCTTCACCGTGTTTTCCGAGTTGAGAGACAACGAGTTCTTCATATCGGGTGAATCTTATGCAGGCAAGTACGTGCCTGCTATTGGTCACACGATTCTTCAAAACAACGATCGAGCTGACGTGAGAATCAACCTGCAAGGCATTTTGATTGGAAACGGCCTATCGGACCCGAAGAATCAGTTCAATTATGGCGACTTGTTGTACCAGTTGGGGTTGATTGATTTGGCTACATTGGAAGAAGCGCACACACTCGAGAGCTCCATTCAAGAGTTCATTGAGGAAGAAGACTACGAGTCGGCCACTTTTATATGGAACAACATGCTCCAGTCCCTGTTCTATGACCCTACAGGGTTGATGGATATCTACAACTTCGTGCAAGATGAAGACAACAGTCCGAGCGACTGGGAGGAGTTCATTGTGCAGAACGAAATCAGGCAGGCGCTTCACGTTGGCAGTCAAGAGTACCTATCAGAAAGCTATGAAGTCTACTACTCCCTCTATGAAGACATCACGAAAAGCGTCACTGACTGGGTCATTGAGCTGCTAAGTCACTATCGAGTGCTGCTCTACAACGGACAATTGGACATCATTGTTGGATACGTACTGACCGAGAACTATGTTCAAAAGTTGCAGTACAGCGCGGCCGAGGAGTATGCAACTGCCCAAAGAGAAGTGTGGAAAGTTGGGGACCAAATCGCCGGTTACGCCAAAACAGCCGGAAATTTAACCGAAGTTTTAGTTAGAAATGCTGGCCACATGGTTCCAATGGACCAGCCAGAGTTCGCCTACGATCTACTCATGAAGTTCACCAAGAACAAGCCAATTGCTGGACAATGATTGATTAAATTGTGAATAAAACAGCACTTTTAAACGAACACAAATTTTACTTTAGCGGAAAGCTCCGCATTAGAGACGCAATTAACTGGATGCGCATTTAATCCAAGCTTAGTTAGGATCAGGTCGCTGAATGTCAAGGGAAACGTTTAATTTATTTTCCCGGAAAAACAGGGCTACATTAGCAGGCATATGCCGTTCCATCAATAATATTCAATGGCTGCACATTCCTGTTTAGTCCATTTACGCTAAATCATATCCGGGCGATGATCGGGTTTCTCTGTTTTTATTTCCAACCACTCTATCAATTTAGCTGCCGGAATTTTTAGCCCAACTAAAATTTGGATTTGTAGCTGCAAAATGCAGTATTTGATTTGCGATGTCCAAAGGAATGTTGGTGATAAACAATTTCTCGTGGGTGTGGATTCGTTTCAGTTGTGGCAGTTAGTGCAAGTTTTGTGAAGAAAACTGTTTCGACTGTGGAGACATTTGAGGATTAGGAACAATTATCAAAACCAACTTTTTCCACAATGGCAAATCCGAGGAAAAATTCGGGTTTTCTTGAGGAACATCCTTAATGAAAATGTTTTCAATTTTGAGCGTTCTTATTTAAATTATTAAGTGAAAACCTGCGACTAAAGGGAGCACACTCTGTCTCACTCAAAGCACATTAATGATGGGATTAATAAAAGTAACCCTGTAGCTCTCAAACTGGCTTCTTATCGCCGGTCGATTAATTTCTATAACAACGTTACATTGTTGTGAAACATCATTATCCGTCGTGTTCCAGGACAACTTCAAGACGCTCCATTGTACAGAAATTCGATCATGGCCAGAGACAAAATTAAATATCCAAGTAACTATAGGCCAAAGCCGAAACCGAGCTTATTCAGCAGGGAAAAATTGAGTCCCAATGATCTATCAAGGCGAGTATCACCAGTATTTTTTAAGATCCCACTCAAATTCAGCTAGAATTTCAAACTAAAAATGAATTTTTAGAGCTTTGAACTATGTGCTCGCAGTGACCGTACCGTTCTTCATTTCGATGCTATTATTAACCTTATATTTTTGGGTGATCGAAGATGACCTCATGTTCTACGACATGAGTTAGCCGCGGTTCTCCGGCCAGCCCAAAACGGGCCTTCGTATATGCTGCTTTCTTTAACATACATGTTCGCAACAAAAAACAACCTGAGCGTCATATTCCAGAAGATTATAACAACCAACACCGGTTTGCCGTTTCAACAGAGGACAACCTTCTTTTACCCATATCTAAAAATGCGTCAGTTTGTAAGTAAAAAGTCCATATAAAAACGAAAACCCATTAAAAGCACCATTGATGCGTGTTTTCCATTTAGAATTAGTGCTGAAAATAATCAAATTAGCTGATAAACCAACTTGCGTTCGCGCGCGTCTTGGTGTCTCAAAAGAGAACCCACTGATTTTCTCCATATCTTTAACAGCGGCCTGGAAGCAATCATCAAAGTGGACGAATGTTAAAAATACTACTCAATCTTCTCTTTCCGGGTTGCAATTATCAGAAGAAATTTACGAGATTTTTTGGGTTTCAAAACAGTACAACTTTCTATGCCTCACATCTTTAACCGAGAGAGTCTGCCAAAAAAGGGTCAATAGTATCGTAGAAGACCGTTAAAAGTGCTTTTGAATCATGTTTTTGATTTCCAATTATTTTGGAAAATTAGCAAGTTAGGAGACCAACAAACTTGCACTAAAAGTGAACTGAAAAACACACATTTTGGCCGTTTTTGCATCCGCTGCAAATATGCGAGAAGGTATCAACTCGGAACACATCAACTCGCTGTCCTCTTGCATCACTCACATTATCTTATGGGTGCGAGTGAGAGACCCGATGCTAGCTACGTTCTTGACTGGATAATTCAGTGTCATTTAATTAATCAGATCGTGAGCACTTGTGACTGAATCCAGCTCTATCTGTGACAATTTGCACCTTTTGAGGTAATTTCTGATATCCAAAAGATAATTTTCAATTTCCAACCCTCTAGACGCCGTCGGTTTAATTAAATATTTCATTTGGCTGGCTACTGATAGCTCTAGAGTAGACATGTTTCAGATGGCTTAACTGCTGGTTCCTGTATAATTCAGCAGAAGAGACCCATATCAACGTGACAAAGACATTAAAGCGGGCTGGGAAACAATGCAATGCTTAAAATGCATGAAGCCCATGGGGTTTGCAGGCTTAAACTTGAGAACAATACATTGATGTATTATTAAATACTGAAATAGTTCCGACAGCATATAAGCGCGCAAGTGGGCCGACAGATAAAAAGATGATCGGTTAGGTGGAAAATACCATCTCCATAACAAGTGGGTATCGTGTGGAAACAATCTCCTCAATTTTCCGCTTGAACATGAAAATCCTTCTAGTGGTTTCAGGAAAAACTATTAATAAACGATAAATATTCATTGAAAACAGTTCGCTTAGGAGTTTCGGGAACGTTGCTACTTAAATAAAGCTTTTGAAGTTGAATGAGCGAAAGCCCCCATCTTTTCCCTCCAGATAAGCTGGAAAACTTACTGCCTGAAGTTTTTAGGATTATTGCGCTATAAACCGTTTTACAATGTTGCGACTCAAAAGTGAAAATCCCAAGAGTTTGACGATTTTATGCTTGTAATAATACGCATATAAAAAAACTGCGAAAAGTTGTGAGAACCAATAAAATACCAAACAGTATGTTTTAAGAGCGCAAAGCTTGAAAGCAAAAAATTGCGCATTTCCATTCCACAGATCGTTAAAATATAGAAAGACACACAACTGCTACTCCTCATAAATTCTATTAGAAGCCTTGCGTGTTTCCATTGAGGGTAAATTATTAAAGAATCCCATTTTCTGATAGACCATCTGGGAAATAATGCCCTGTTCCCTGTTATTTTTGGGCATTTGCTCGTGTGAACTTGCTGTTTTGAAACTGCTCAAGGACCAATGAAGGCTGTGAGTCTATAGACCAATCAATTGTGTGAACGATTGAAAATCAGACAAGAAAGACTTACCGTCTTTGTCCCATTCTTCGTCATTCCAGACATCTTCAATTTCTTCCTTAACATCCGCGTTTCGACTACTGTCTTTCCGATCATCATCAGATAAATCTTCCGATTTGCTGCTGCTCCAGCGCCAGCAGCAGCAACCATTCAACTTCAACTTGCACAACATTTTTAAAATCCGGTTTTATGTTTGTGAAAGTTTGGCCATTTCACGTCGGCTGTTTTAACCATTATAAAAATTTACATTAGAATCCAACACAGGCAAGTATTCCAACGCATTAATTAGCGAAAGTGATTATAAGAGTTGCGGCTGCAAAGTTCTAATGCGATTTTGCACATTTTCACATGGTTTACGCGTTCGTTTTTTTAAAACTCTCCCCGAAAAAAAAATTCAACCCGATTGTCAACGAAATTCAAGCCCAATGTGAATAATCCAATTGCAATTTGTCCTGAATTACGATGAGTTGGATCTAGAGATGGGAAATTCAATTAAACCCATTCAATTATGCAGCGGGTCGCAAATATTTCATCAAAATTGTTGGCCGCTATTTCCCAGTTTATTAAAACACATCGCGAGTTATTTTACTCTCACTTTTTATTGCTGCATATTTGAACCTACTGGTTAATTAAAATTGGCTGCTAATTTGAACATTTTGTTGCTAATGAGGTCTCAAATAATTGCCAATTTTGGCTACTTGATCGAAAGTTTCGCGAGAATGAGTGCAAGTAATCTTCCTTATGGCATAAAATCCCAAAAAAATTAGCTTGCATATAAATCAACGTTTTCATCGGTGAAGAGTCTTTTCCATCGGGAATCATGAAACTAGCACCAATTTTACAAGATTACATTCAGTCTTGCGTTAAACGCAAAAGACTATCAAAGAAAGCGCCAGAACAATTCAATATTTTATCTTCAGATATATTTCTGGCACAAGGCTCGGATAGAGATCAGGCAATAAAATAAAAAATGTATGAGAAAATTGCTCTTTGATGGAAAACTGGGAATTTATTTTTAAATCGCCAGAAAATGTGAAATACCTGTCCCTTGAAACTAGGGACAGAAAAAACCGTTCTTCACCTTCCACCGAACAATTTGTGAATGCAGGTCGCGTATAATTTGGTTTCATTTAAATTTCGCCTTTTAATCCGAAGCGTGCTTTCGCTGAACAAATCCACTTAGCAACTTTGCAACGCTTTCTTTATTAGATTTTAAAATATTTATATAAAAGTCTGGAAATAATTTTGCGCGTAATTAAAGAGGGAATGCATACATTAGAGCAGTTAGTAGTGCTTTGTGTGAACAAATCGCTTTAAAAATGTGATTTAGTTAAGAAAAATGGGAAAAACGAATGGTGATTTTACTGGCTTTTAGGAATTTCGTTAAAGTTCCTAAAAGTGAAAATGCTTCAACGGATTATCCATCCTATCCATTACATGCTCTGCCGTATAATTTATTTAAGCCTGCACAATTTGCTATTTAAATTAATAATCAACATACTGAGTTCGATAGCTACTGCTTGGACGGAATGCTAATGACTGGCTTCTTCAGGCAAGGCTGAATATTTACAAAACCACTGCAATCAAAGAATATTAATTTTGTTATAATGAGTCACAGCTTGATGAATTTTAAACATATTAAGGACGCTTTAAAAATATTTACTAAATTTGCCTAAACGCTTTCAATTCAAAACCGCCGCACAAAACCACGCAGATTAAAAGCACAAAAAAAATCCTCCTTTGCCCAGTAAAAACACCGTCATTTAGCCAAAACCTGCCTTTGTTGTTTAACTATTTGTCAACAAATTTCCAGACAATGATTTTAATGTGGGAAAGTTGTTGTCGCACCTCACGTGGCCAACCAAACCGGAAATTCGAGAGCGTAATATTCGCTTTTAAGCGTCGCGACGAGCGTCTGTGCTCGACTGAACTGAAAATCTTGCGCAAATGTAACTCCGGATCGCATTTGACCACCTTTATTTGCCTCCTGAAGTGGGAACTTGATCGGTTTGCATAGAATATAGGGGATATAATCCGGTAATTAATTCGGGTAATCCTACTCATTACATTTAGCACTGCTAACGTTTATTAATTGAATGAGTTGGGATAGACATTTGAAATGCTAGCGGGGTTGCAAAATAACGAGAAATTTAAAAAAATAAGCTTTCCTTCGGTGTTCTCAAAGTTCTTCCCAGAACAAACACCTTACTTGGCTGCCAACTTCAATATTGATAAAGGTCTGGTAATTAATGTGAAATTAGTTCCTCGAAAATTCCCAATTAAGCTCTTCAAATATTGACATTGTGTAGGCAGCTCGCTAAGAGTTGCAAGTTTTAAACCATAAAATTTAATTAACTGGGTTTGCAAATTCAGTTGTGGCGTTTTCCTTCGCTTAGCTAACAGTACCTTAAGCAGGAAATAACTAGCGTTTGTTAATTTTGCAGGAAGTTCATAGAAAGTGTATTTCTGCAGTATTAAAGCTCAGTACTAGTGGCTTATTGCAAAAGAAGTTATGTAATGTGAGCATCAATCTATCATCATTAAGCCATTAAATTCCCATTATTGCTAAAGTAAACTAGTTGTGGCTGTTGTTGGCCATCGGAACTGCCTAATTCGTCTTTGTCGCCAGCTTTTAGAAAAATCGCTGGCCACATACGTAAAGAAACCCCGTCGTGAGCTATCGATTGCTTCCGCAGGTAATTTCCTTTACGTATTAGCTAGGAAGTGAAGACGAATTCTCCAGGAGATTTCAGAAGATTGGCTACCCGACAATAGATAAAATCGATAAATTTGCAGAAGATTTTCACCCTTGTAACTGCATACTACAAATACAACTACAATCTCCTTCCATCAATGTAAGCCAATTACTTTAAGGAGCAAACAACTTAATCGCATGTTGGTTTTCTATTATCAAACATTTGCCTTCCAACACGCAAAGCTTTACAAGAACGGAACCCCGCTTATGGGAAACATACCTTTGACTTTGAGCCGCTAAATTTAATTACGAAAATTTGATGAGGAGCTTGACAATATTTCGTGGGCAAAACTGACTTCACTCAATGATCAAAACTCAATGATCAACTCTAGTTTGAGCCGCTGAACATTTTTTGGGGCGAGTTCTGAGGGCAATCAGTGCGGATGGAAAAATTGCCATCGTTGTCTTGAAATGTTCCCCAAACCCTTTTTGCAGCCTCATAAACCAAAAGATGCTGGAATTGATGGTTGTCATATTTTCACAGTTTTTATTGCAGATTGGGCCGTTCAAGCTCAGAATAATCCATACAATTTTCTCGCTCAAACTTAAGCTGTTATAAAAAAATGGGTTTTCGCGGGCGTTAAAACAGTTGAAAATGACAAGTTTTTTTCTATTGTAGAACAGAAGCTTTTCCAAAAAGGTCTAAATCCCAAAAAAACTTACTCAATGGAAATTAAGGCATTTTCAGTTGTTTGAGATTAAGAAGCAACATTTTTGAAACTGGTTAATATTTTTTCGGGGTGTAGGCCGCCGAGGAAAAGTTGGACAAAATCTTCCATAACGACCTAGAATCCCGGAAAAACTAGGAATTTTATACTGTTTTCATTACAAATACCCATATTTGCAATTAAAGTATTCTAAGTATTCGCAAACTACGTAAAAGCGATTAATTTTCTCCCGAAAGATGTCAGGAAGAAATGTAATAAATTTCCAACCCACGGGAGTAGCATAAATTGCGATATTTAAATCCAGAAGGAACATCCATCAGCACTTGGTAAACCCGCCGTAATAAGAACTTTGGAACCGATTTCCAATAAAACAAGCTCGGTTTTTTCCATATTTTTCTTCCTGCTTTCCAGTAAACAAACAACATCAGCCGACTCTATTTGCATCTCGTATCCCCGAACTGTTACCTTTGAAATTTCTGATATAATAAAATATTGCCGGGAATATCGCGATGCTTTTCGATTTTCTATTTTAGGATTTACGTAGTTACTTTCAGTTGATAAAAGATTTATTGATACGAGCACCTCTTCTGCTGACCAAGTGGAAACATCTGGCGTCGACTGACGTAAATTTAATTAAAATCGAACCAAACGGGAAACGAAATTACAGAAATGTCGCTCATAAGGAGTCACGGAAAGCGATTCAACCAAAACTGTCCTTAATAAAGACAATAAATCGATAATTTACTATTTTACAGGCACATTTTTTTAGCAGAGATGATGGATATTTACAACCAGAAGCAGCTCTTTATTTTAATAAGCGCGGGTATTTTCTAGTAGAAAGGGAACATAATTTGCATTTTATAGGAAATAGATATTAATTTTGCGCATAAAATACGTGTGGGACATTTTTCGAAAACAACTGCAGCCATGTAGTCTACAGTGCCGGATCAATACGGTGAAAAGAGTTTTCAAAGGCCACTCCTGTTTCCGTGTTAAGCCCCTAAATCAGACAATTATAATGCAAACATTTGTAGTTTTTTGGGTTTTAAGTAGCAGACTTATATTGGCTGTATTCACCGTACAAAAACAAAAACTACCTGCTTTAATATTATTGGAAAAAACAGCTACTGAAACTGGAAGCTTATGAAGGTTTAACTGTTACCATTAGGACATGAAACAACATAATTTGCTTCATCGAGAAGATTTACTGAACAAGAAATCCTTTGAAAAACCCGAAAATAACACAACATTTTTCACGCGAAATAAATAACAGCAGTCAGGATGAGATAACAAAAAGCAATTCACCCTCGGGCACTTTGAAACAGAGCGCTGGAGTTGTATTTCTCCCTGTTCCTCTTCGTTTTACAAAGGAGTAATTTACGACAGCAATTTATGTTCCAATGTACATTGATTTATCACCTCTCAGGTTATAAACAGCAGCCATTTAATGTTAAACAAACATCGGCAAAGAACTGGAAAATGTTTAAAAAATCTTTCACATTCCCTGACTAATAAAACTTCCATGTAACTTTGCCCTCAAGATAATCAAGCCCGACTATACGTTTCCAAGCCAATATTAGCTGAATGTAAAAATACATTTTGCAAGTTCGGACTGAAAATGTTGCGAATAATTTGATAAAGAGCATGGTAAACAAGGAAACAGCCTACTTTATTACTGGGTCCGTATGACGGGAAAAGGGCAACCGACTTTGAAACAATCAACTTTCGAGGGATGAAATATGATGATTAGCTGGCATTTTGCCCGGGCATTTTTTCTCTAGTGTAGCGGGAAATTAATTTTCCTGGAAGTTATTGCAGTTCGTTTTATCAACATACGTTGCACATTGACAGAGAAAGTTCGTGTTGCTGTTTATTAGCGCTCGCAATAAATAAATTGTTGGGAGAATGCTGGGGTTTTCGGTCAACGGTTTGCGAAAAAACGCTGATTTTTTAATCCCCCGCAGGGTAAAAATTTAAAAGCACAATACGTTTTTGATAAAATTCCCTTTTGCGTATTGGTGACGATATATTGTCAGTGAAAATCAGCGAAATAGAGTAAAAAGTCTGCATAAAGTCTGCAGTAAATCCGCCATTTGAAATAGTAATTCTCGAAATGCTCAACTTTCTCCAGGACGAAATGCTTTGTCCCCGAGGACAAAGGAAACCATTAAACCGATGTAGCTGGGATAACAATTATGTGGGAGACTCAAGTTGCATCCGGAGTTGCATACCAAATCAGGCTTAGATTGGATTGTTGAGTAGGTATTTACATTGCAGAGCGTCATGCAAGTGAAATTGGAAAAATTGTTTCACAAGGTGAAGGGGATACATAAAAATAAATATTGGTAGTTGGGCGGCGTTTGGATATGCAACTGTTAAATGCATCGATCAGTAATAATTACACAACCTTGCAACTTGTGTTGAGATTTCCAGTGGTTATTTTTCCCGTTGTAAAGATTATCATCAAAAAATGATTTCGGGACTGCCTTCGTGTTATCTACTACATGAAGCTATAAATTGAATGGACAACAATCAGCAGCACTCATATCATAGACACATTTCGAAGCCTTGAACTGATAAACGTTCCAGTACCTATTAAAAGCATTTCAAGTCCGTTGTTGATGCATCAGCATGTTTTCGAAAGCTCTGTTTTTAACATGTCTGATTTTCTCGTGCGTGGAAAGTGCCCGGATTTTAGGAATCTTTCCTATGCCAGGAATAAGTCACTACATTTTAACATCCAAGTTAATGAAAGGCTTAGCTGAAGCAGGGCACGATGTTGTGATGGTCAGTCCCTATGGCATGAAAGATCCACCCAAAAACGGCAAATACACCGATGTGATTCTGGATGATTTCGCTGAAGTCTTTGAAAGTAAGTAACAGTCACTTTTAACTGCTAAAGCGTTTCTTGTATTGGCATGTTTAACATTTCTAGAAATGAACCAAATCGATTTATTCGGGCACAGCAAAAGATGGATGGTTTTCAGTATGAAAGAAGTCATAGACGTGATGATGATCGGCACAAGGAATACCTTGCGTAATCCCGGTTTGATGAACCTAGTCGAGTCCAAAGAGCACTTCGATGTGGTGATAATCGAAGAGTTCCTGAACGACGCTCTTAAAGTCTACAGTCACCTGTTTAACTGCCCTCTTATTATTTTAAGCAGCGTTGGACCCAACAGCAAAGTCAATTCCGTGATAGGCAATCCGCAACCGATGGCATACGTAGCTCATATGCAGATGAGGCGTTTTTCCAGCAGAATTTCACTTCTTGATAGAATGACGAATTTATTTCAACACGTGCTATCATATACTTTGTCTGAATTGTTATTTGTTCCAAAAAATGAGCGAATAATGCAAGAAATGTACCCCGGGGCTCCGTCCATCAGCGAATTGAACAACAATGTGGCGCTGGTTCTTCTGAACTCGCACGCCAGTCTTTACGAGCCGCAGCATCTTGTTCCCAATATGATCGAGATTGGTGGTTACTTCATTGATCCGCCGAAGCCACTGCCGGAAGATTTGCAGGAATACATGGACAACGCAACGGATGGCGTGATCTATTTCAGCATGGGGTCAAATTTGAAAAGTAAAGATTTGCCGGAAGAACGGAAAAGGATGTTTTTGAATATTTTCGGTCGCCTGAAGCAACGAGTTATTTGGAAATTTGAGGAAGACTTGCCAGGAAAACCGTCCAATGTTCTGATCAAAAAGTGGTGTCCGCAACAGGATATATTGGGTGAGTGCCAAGTTTTTCAATGGCTCTGCAGCACCTCAATAAGAAACCTTATTTTAGCTCACCCGAACATGAGATTGTTTATAACCCACGGTGGGCTGCTGAGTACAACCGAGACAATTTACCATGGCGTTCCCATTCTGGCCATTCCAGTTTTCGGCGATCAGCCAGCTAATGCGGCCAGAGCGGAAGCCAGCGGATTTGCTCTTCAACTCGACTACAACGCTCCAGATTTCACCGAAGATAAACTAGATTTCTTAATCAGGGAGTTGTTAACGAACCCGTCCTACAAAGAAGTGGTGCAGAACAAATCCAGAATTTTCCATGACCGCCCGATTAAACCAATGCAAACAGCGGTTTACTGGGTTGACTATGTGATCAGGCATCGAGGGGCGCCACATTTGAGGGCAGCTGCCTCCAAACTGGCATGGTACGAGTTATACATGGTAGATGTTGGGGCCATTATGGTGGTGATTCTGGCCGCCCTCCTGTATACTGGGAAAATTGTTGTCTGGAAAATTGTCGGCTCTATTAGAAGGAGAAGAGCAAACAAGCAAAAACTTTCGTGATTAGAAATATGGTAGACTTTTCATATTAGCAATCCAATGTACTGCAAGCAGATGATCATTGTAAATAAATCATCTGGTCATCAAATGTATTCTGGAGTCTCAACTGTTTTATGTGTTAAGTATTTATATGTTTATAATTTGACAATACATACATAATTGCATATACTTTCCTGACTGTGTTTCAACTCCAAATCAAATTCATTCCTGGGTTTCAGTCATTTATTGTCTCTATTTATCAATCAAAATACGTTTCGG